CGGCCTGCCCCCGCTCCCCCTCTTCCTGCCGGCTGTGGTGCCGTGCGGGGCGCGGGGACTGTGCCAGCCGGACCCCCAGGGGTGGGCACCCCTCCCGCCGTCAGCCCCGCTCCCGGCCCTGGTACCGCCTTTGCAGTGGCCTTGGCCGGGGGATGGCGAGACGGTTTCGGTATTTCAGCGCTGGGTTTCTTGCTCTTCCTTGTCTGCCAGTCTAGGTCCTGAGCTGTTTCTGGTGGGGTGCCGGTCTGAAAAGGTAGTTTGGCAGCCCCAGACTCATGCCTCTCCTGCTAGAGCTTGTTCTCTTGAACGTTTGCCCCCTTTGTACTCAGTAGGTAAAGGTGGCTGCGATGTGATGTGGATTCTTCTGTGCTGTATCGTCATGAATCTGTGTGTTTGTCATGAATTTGATAACATACGCTCTTTATTTAGGGGTGTATGTCAGTGTATGTCAAGGCCAGGGTACGTACAGCCGTTCGGTTGACCTGCGAGGTCTGCAGGCGCAGTGCTCTCGTCTGACCGTTCTTGCTCAAGAGCTGAGCAAAATTGTTCAAGTATGTTTTACAGCTGTGCTTTGAGGAGCTTTTCTATTCTGATGCAAGACCTTTTCCACTCGATGAAATGCCCTGGCTTCTGATTCTGGTACTGCGTGCTGCAGGGCATGATCGTATTTCTCACTTCCTCACAGCTGGTAATAAGTTTGGGCTTTTTTTCTTTTTTTTTCTTCCCCTCCCATCCTTACTGTGTCTCTCCTTTTTCCTGAAATTTCTGTTCATCTTGTCTGGCTGATTGTCAAAACTATTTTTTTTCTTTACCTTTCAACTAACTCCAGATTGTACCTGTAATTCTCATCTTCACTCAGCTCTACTTCATGTAAACACTCACATCTTGGCTAAAACAATGTGGCCTCACTAGCCTAATGTGCAAGTCATTTCTTCTCATGGAGGGGAAAGCCCTTAAAAAAAATTCCTGATTAATATTTTCCAACCTGAAAGAAGTAAAAGAAGAACATCGGTTTAGTGATCTGTAGTGTTTCATGCAGAAAGACAGCTCCATACAGGGCAGAGAAGAGTTTAATTTCAGGAATGTCTGGACAATCTCCAAAAATACGGAAGCCTGTGATAGAATTAGCTGCTCTGCAGTGGAGGTGTGCCAGGGGCCAGGATGTCACAGACCAATTAAATTTTAGGGGTTAAGCAAGTTGTAATATTGAGTGGTGCAGCTGAGTTTCTGTCAAAATTTATTCTCTCACAAAGAAGGATTTCCCTTTATTATTTGCAGAATCTTTGAGAAACAGTCTGGAAAAGTATTAACACAAATCGCTAATATTTAAGATGCCCAGAGCTGTGAAGCTGCTGTTCATCTCTTGCTGGAATGAAACTACTGACACTGCCTACAGGCTTGGATTTTGGTAGCTGGTTTTTGGTAGATGCAGAAAATAGTCTTCTGGCTTTGCTTAGAAGTGCAGAGTAGCAATGTAATATCTGTGGAGTCCCCTGAAAGAAAAGCTTCTTTATGTCAGTTGACACATTCAGCGTACAGACCTTTTCCAAAATAAATTTAGAATAAATCCATGACTCAATACTTCTCTCTCTGCAAGCAGCCTGAAGTAACAACACCCTTGTGTAAAGTATCCCTGAGTTCTGTTGATACTTAATAAGTATATTTTGGTTAAGTTTTACAGTGTGCTTTTGTTTAGCGCAGCAGTGTCAAGGCTCCTTAGCTCTCCAGTTTGCTCTGGAGCACATCTCGAAGGAGGCTGAGTGTGAGAATCAGAGAACCCGTCACTGTCATCTGCCACCTTCCTTTTGGACTAATACCAGGGCAAATTGCTGTGTTTTGCTAAGAAAATACAGGGTGCTACAATAATGATCATTAATATCTGGCATATTATTACTTTTTGTCTAGTTTTCGATGGTTTTAAAATGCCACTCACAGTGAGTGCTTTGTGTGCAGGTGGCAACTTTTAAAATCCAAGAAAACAATTTATATAAAAAGTCACGAATTTTGCTTCTTAAAGCTGACCTCAGCAAAAACTAATCAAAGTTTTATCCAATTTTATATAATATTATTAAGTAAACATTATTTGTGTGCTTCTTTCCAGTAGTATATTATTTACTTTCTGATTTTGTGACAAGATTTATCTTCTGGGAAGCCTTGTTAAATGGAAGGCATTTCAATAGCACAAGAAGTTTAACTTTATTTTTATAGTTCATGTTAATAAATCTAGTTCCCATTTAAGCCACAGTGAGAAAGGAACAGTTTCAGGAAGTATTATGTGACTAGTTCATAGACTTGCTGAGTCACACAGTTTTCTTTTGCTTACCGTGAGTGTACATTAAAATAGAAAAAACTACTTTTTGAAGTTAATATTGCATTCGTTTATACTTTGCATAACCTTTCTTGATTGAATTGCAAAAAGAGTTGAGAAATCTGTAATCCTGGCAGTAAAAACACTTCAATTGCGTCATACATTTCTTGGGAAGTATTCTTAATGCTAATTATTAACTTTCTTTTTTTTTTTTTCCTCCCTTCCAGCTCTGTAACAGCGTTCTTGAAGTCAATCATGTTTTCCAAACTCACCCGCCCTCAGAGCATTGCTGTTCTGTATCGAGGTGTACACTCGTCACTAAGTTCTGCTACCTCAGTTGCTACTAAAAAAATCATTCAAGGACCTCCATCCTCTGATTTCATATTTGAACGCGAGGCTAAGTATGGTGCCCACAATTATCACCCACTACCTGTTGCTCTGGAAAAAGGAAAAGGTACTTTGTTGAGGCTTCCCTGAGTGGTGCAGATGAAATGTGTGTGTAGATGGGATGGGATCGTGGCACAATGATTTTGCCCTAATCGATTTCTGAAGATTTGGGGCTTTTTTGGGGGTGGTGAGGTGGATAGAATTGAGATAATCGGTGAAGCAAAGATAAGTAATTGCTTCATAGAGAACTGAATCATTCTGTTATATATTAAAATGGTAGTCTCTCTGAAATAATTTATCTAAACAGACATCTAAGTTCTGATAATCTTCATAATTCAGAATAATTTGGCAAGGAAGTTTCAAGTGACTTTGTTTCTTCTGTTACCTTGTGTGGAGAGGTTTGATGTTGATGTGGACATGAACCCTATTTAAGTCCCTCTAGTACTGCCTAATTTAAGTTTACTTTGATCTTTGTTTAAAGGGCTTCTGTGCTGTGCACCTTAAATTCTATGAGTGCGTATTGAAATGCTATTAGCGTAGTGATCTGATAGTTTTTCTTTGGCAGTGCATGTTTTGACAGCTCGGGGCTGTCAGTCTCTGAAGTTTTAAGGCTATTTGGCTTCTGATGGTTTTGTTCTTCATTTTATGGCCTCCAGTTTTTATTCATTCTCTTACAGAAGTATTCCTGCCTATCTACATTTTAGGACCCAAAACAGGGACTTGTCGGGGAAGTGGTGTTCTCTTATTATTTACTAACACAGTGGAATGGCAGCTTTATATGGGAAATCCTTTTCTTGATTCCTCATTGGGCATTTATTTGCCTTTTACTAGTTTGTTGCTTGTGTTCTCTTTGTCAACTAATTATTTTCTAGTTAGAGCACTTTTCAGATACAGTGAGAATGCCATTTACATTTGAGCAGGTTGTGGTCTTAGCACATACCATTTAGTATTCTCTCCTGTCATCTTTTATTTTGTGTATTGACCATACCTTTGTTTTCCTAGGTGTTTATGTGTGGGATGTTGAAGGTAGAAAGTATTTTGACTTTCTGAGTGCTTACAGTGCTGTTAATCAAGGCCACTGTCACCCAAAGATCGTGAACGCTCTGAAAGCTCAGTCTGAAAAACTGACTCTTACATCCAGAGCATTCTACAATGATGTGCTTGGGGAATATGAGGAGTTTATCACCAAAATGTTCAATTATAACAAAGTTCTTCCCATGAACACTGGTAAGAAAATAATTTTATTTCCATTTTATTCCTTCTCTGTGAGTTTCAACAGTTTTGTAACGTTGAGTCGTGCATCGATGGGCTGTTTCGTGTACAAGTACGATAATCATAGAATGGTTTGGGTCGAAAGGGACATAATGGTACTTCTTTATGTTTTAGGAGTGGAAGCTGGAGAAACTGCCTGTAAATTGGCTCGGAAGTGGGCGTACACTGTGAAGGGGGTTCCAAAGTACAAAGCAAAAATCATTTTTGCAGGTACGTAAAGTGCATGGAACGAGTTGAGGTACTGAGGAGTAAGAGAGCTCTTGGCACGGACTGTAGCACTCTCTTTTATCATGTAGTGATTCTTGGCAGTATTCTTAACTCTTCAGTTTCTGTGCTGAAGCAAGTCTGTTGAAGGTCTCTGACCTGTGACATTTTAATAACGTAGACTAAGATCTCACCCTATTAACAGGTTTGGTTGCACTCGCATGTCCACAGTTGGTGATTCTGGTAAAAAAACTACTGTTGTGGCTACCACAGTCTTTGCAGGTTCTCTAAGTGCCTCCTTCTAAAATGTGAAGTTCAGTCTGGAATATATTCTGTTGTTGAAATATTCTCTGTATGCCTAACCTTAAAGAGTTGCAGTGGATTGTAAATGTGTTTTTTTGTTTTTTTTTTTTCCCAAATGAAGAAATGTATGTAATTGTGAAAGGAAGAGATATGAATACAATTCCTGTGACAAATCAGTTTCAGATCTTTTCTTTTGTGGGAGTGTAGGCATCGAGAGGCAGTGAGGGTAGTTGTGCTTCGTCAGGAGCTGCGGATAATGGCTGTTTTTCCAAGGGAAATGCAACAATGAAATCCAGGAAGGAAACCATACTTAATATGGTGGTTGACGTATAAACAGCAGTTGAATATATAAAGTGGACCTTAATTGTACTACTTCACCTTTTTAGTTGTCAAAAATTGACGAATGGCTGCCTGAAGTCTCTTGGCAAGGGCGTTCAGTCCTCCATGCTCTTTTAATCGCTGCTTGGACATTAAGTGCTGTATCTTTTCATTTCTAATTGGCTGACTTTTATATACCTTTGTCTTAAATTCATTCCTCAAATTGCCGCTACCATGCTCTTAGATTCCACATTTGGGTTAAGCCTGCTTTCCTCTTAGTCTTTGCCTACCAGTAGTTTTCTTCTGCATTCTTAAGGCCTTCCAGAAGTTGACATAAAGCCAGTAAAGCCGTATCTTGATCATATAATAAAAATAAAAGCTGTATGGCTAAAATAAATGCGAGGCCCTGGAAAGTCCTGATTATTATATATGTGGTGTCCTTCCTCCCTTCATCTGCCGGCTCTGCTTGGCTCTCTAACAGGTAGAAGTTACGTGCCCCTGAAGAGGCTATTGTGCTTTGCTGCAGAAAACGTTTTTATGTCTAATTCAGATAAACTTACATTTGGTATTCTTTGGTGAAGTATTTTTGTCAAATCTAATGTTGTTCAATGGTTCTGTATTTTATAGAAACTTTCAGAATGCAGCTTACTACTTAAATATTGACTTTTTTTTAAATTGCTACACCTGCAAATACTGTCATTAGGCAGCATTTATAAGTTGCAGTTTGTATTGAATATTGCATTATGATTTCTGGGATCAGATAGGATCATGGAATCATTCAGGTTGGAAAAGATGTCTAAAATCATCTGTCAGCCCAACACCACCATGACCACTAAACCATGTCTTGAAGTGCCCCATCGACACGTTTTGTAAACACCTCCAGGAATGGTGACTGCACCGCTGCCCTGGGCAGCCAGTTTCAATGCCTCCCTACTCTTTCAGCAACGAAATTTTTCCTAATATCCAGTCTAAACCTCCCCTGGTGCAATTTGAGCCCATTTCCTCTTGTCCTGTTGCTTGTTACTTGGGAGAAGAGACCGAGATTAGGTTTGTGGGTTTTTATTCCTTCTGGGAAGCCTCTGAACAAATATATTTCTCCCTCCTTCTCTTCCATATATATTACATTTTGCCCTTTAGACAATTAACTTTTAGTGAGTGCTTTTTCATAGAATCAGAACAATTCAGGTTGGAAAAGACCCTTGGGATCACCAAATCCAACCATTGACCCTACACTACAAGTTCACCCCTAAACCACATCACCCAACACCACATCTAAGCGACACTTGAACACATCCAGGGATGGCGACTCAACCCCCTCCCTGGGCAGTCTGTTCCAGGGTCTGACCACTCTTTCTGTGAAAAATTTTTTCCTAATGTCCAGCCTAAACTTGCCCTGTTGCAACTTGCAACCATTCCCCCTGGTTCTGTCCCTAATTCCCTGTGAGAAGAGACCAGCACCAACCTCTCTACAATGTCCTTTCAAGTAACTGTAGAGCATGGTGATAAACTGGATATGCTTTCCATTTTTATTATCCCATCCCCTTAACCACAGTATATAATTATGTGCTGAGTTGGGGGAAAAAAAAAAGAGTTCTCTTGTTGAAAGCTGGCACTTTGGCAGAAAAACTTCTTGGGTAGTTAGGGGCAGAACAAGGAATGGCTTTAAATCATAGAATCATAGACTGGCCTAGGCT